CACACATGGAGCTGCAACCAGAACACTCACGCCTTCAGCATAGCTTTGGAAAGTTGTGCATGCCTCCACCCAAACACATAAACGGCTTGAACTATCATACCTTGCGATTGGATGGGTCGTCTGCTTATCATCACTACAGTGAGTAGGGCCTCACCTGGCTTTCCGCCTGAGATAATACGGATTCAACTAGCATAGTTTTGGAATGGCGGGGTTGTCTCGTTATCATTTTGATTCTTACAGCCGGTAGGGTCTCACCTGGCTTTCCACCTGAGATAACAGCGCTCTCCTTGGGCTCCACTCCAATCAGCTGTGGGAGAGATGAGACAGGGAGTGAGGCACGGGAGGAGGGACGAGATCAGCAAAGCTGGTGTATGCTTTTTCCTTGCGCTGACATAACAGCGCTCTCCTTGGGCTCCACTCCGATCAGCATCAGGAAAGATGAGGCATGGGAGGACAGTAGGGGCAGGGAGCGAGGCAAGGGAGGAGGAGCGAGATAAGCATTGGCGTGAATTGCTTTTTGCCATGATTCCGCCATCATTTGAAGCCTTTTGATGCATGTTAACTAGAAAGCTGAGTAACACAAACCAGGTTGGGGGAGCCCAAAGTGCCAAGCTCCCTTCCTCTCATTCCCCCATAGTCGAGACAAGCAGGTCCTCTGTCCCACCCGACCCAATCCCCGCTGTGCCACCCATCCATCTCACATTGATCTTGGCCGTCTGGCTGTGCAGGTACGGCTCTGTGCTCGGGACAGTCCCCCCCACGCTGATACGCTGGACTACCTTAATAGCACCCACGTCCCACTGTGACTGATCATCCGTCCATCTCACTTTGATGTTGGGCTTCTGGCTGCGCAGATACAACTCTGTGCCCGTCACAGTTCCCCCAGTAACCATGACAGTCCCCCACACATGGTGATGCGCCAGACTACCTTGATAGCTCCCCAGTTTCCCCATCCCCCAGACAAGTCATCCCCCATCTCACCTTAATGTCGGGGTTCTGGCTGCGCAGGTACGGCCCAGTGCCCGTGACGGTCCCCCCCATGGTCATGATAGTCCCACACATGCACATGCGCCAGGCCACCTTGATAGCTTCCCAGCACCCCCGTGACTGACTACTCATCTCCCATCTCACCTTGACGTTGGGGTTCTGGCTGCGCAGGTACCGCCCAGTGCCCGTGACAGTGCCGCCCGTGCCAATGCCTGAGACGAGGAAGTCCACTGTGCCGCGCGTGTCCTCCCAGATCTCCGGCCCGGTCGTCTCAAAGTGCACCTGCGACCAACCGAGCCAATAATTGGGAAATGAGGAATGGACAGATGGCTTCCGAGTCCTAAGATAGTTATCAGATCTCAGTCCCTGTATTAGGATTCTCAGATAACAGACTTGTCTTAAAGTGCACCTGCAACAAAATGAGCCACGGGTCACGAGGGGAGGAGACGGTTTGAGTATTCCCAAAGGCGACTCAAGTGCCGCCCATGTCAATGCCTGAGACGAGAAAGTCCACTGTGCCGCGCGTGTCCTCCCAGATCTCCGGCCCAGTCGTCTCAAAGTGCACGAGTCACGAGGTCGTCCCGGCCTCCGTCTGTCAACACTTTTGAGGCGCCTCAAAAGTTGACGACGTATCAGCGTGGGTCTTCGTCTGTGAACATTTCACTACTTCGACCTACGAGCCCTTCAACTCCGCAGGCATCTCGAACTGATGCAACATGCACGCTCCCTCATTTCTTGCCCACGATTTCCTTCGCCTAGTTTTCACAGCACCCTGTCCTCAGCAGCGTCATTTAAGAACAGCTCTACACTAAATCCTCGGTACAATCTCGCCGTAATCTGGGGTGCGCGGGGTTCTCGAACTGTCCTAGGTGCTGCCCGCAATTTCCTCCGCCTTGGAAACAGCGCCCTTCATGCCCTTAGCGAGAACGAGCTCGGCGCCAAACGCCTCTCAATGCTGCGGAGCCGTCCCGAACAATCCCATGCCCAAACCGTCTAAAAACAAGCCCGGCTCAGTCACAACCCCACATTCGTACCAATCCTACCTTGGGGTTGGCCGGGTTCTCGAACTGCTGCAGCATGTACGCGTCCTTGGTGCCCTTCACAATCTCCTCCGCCTTGGCAACAGCGCCCTTCATGCCCTTGGCGGGGTCCGTGAGAACGAGCTCCGCGCCAAACGCCTGAAGCAGCACGCGGCGCTCGAGGCTCATGGAGGCGGGCATGGTGAGGACGAGCTTGTAGCCCCTCGCCGCTGCTATGAACGCCAAGCCGATGCCCGTGTTGCCCGACGTCGGCTCCACCAGCACGCTCTGACAGAGAAGGTATATGGGAGGGGACAAAGGGGGGACAGAGAGACACCTCTGTTGCCCGTGTTGCCCGACGTCGGCTCCACCAGCACGCTCTGAGGGGGACGAAAGGGGCAAGGGGGGAAGGACAATGGCAGGATAGAAGGTGATGCCCGTGTTGCCCGACGTCGGCTCCACCAGCACGCTCTGACAAGGTTGAGGGGTGGACGAGAGGGACGCATCAGAGAGATAGCACAAGGTGATGAAACGCGTAAATAAGACACGCGAGTATATATTGTTGCGAAAGGCTGAAGGTAGGGTGAATTTGATAAAAAAAGAGCTGGAATTGGATCTCCGCTAACCTTTCCCGGCTCAATGAGGCCTCGCTCCTCAGCGTCGTTGATCATGCTGTACGCGATTCTGCGTACAACGGGTGGGGTAGGGTAATGACAAGCGAAATGAATTGGAAAATAAGACACAGCGATATGGCGTAGAGAGGGACGAGGGACTAACGACCTCTGAGTTTCTTCGACATTTCCAAATAATGACTCCAGGACAGGCTAGATGTAGATTTTTTTTTTTTAATAAAAAATACTCTAATGCCACTTGATGGTAACGAGAGGGTAAATAAGCACCAGACATACGACCTCTGCAGCTTAGATTCAGATCGCAACAATGCGCATTGCGCATAGAATCACGGAAATGAGGTCCCGCTACAAATTCATACAAAAGGCGTTCAATCTCGACAGAGATAATTTTCTTTTGTCCTTGGCGCTGCCTCACGGCTCATTGAATTTAATGGCTCTCATGAAAGCTGACAGTTTTAATCAAGGCGGCACACCTGTCCTTGACGCTGCAGCAGGGCTCCATGATTTCGAGCTTCGCGGCGATGTTGGCGACGCAGCCGTCGACGACCTTGTTCAGGTACACCATGGGGGTGCTGCCGATCAGCTGCACGCGTAGCAGATGATAAACTTGTTAGAATTCAAGATAATCTCGTGCTTTCCTTCTTCTGGAATAACCGCACATATTATGATGCGATAAGCAGCAAAATTGCAAATTGGTTACATCCAACAGAAATTTAACGCGATGGAGCTGCGGAAAAAAAAAAAAAACAAAAAGTCAATACATTTTACCGACCTGAGTCACATCTGCAGCGATGTTCGTCGCCGTCGCAGTCTCAGCTTCCACAGCTTGAGCTTTCGCCGAAACATCCTGCTTCCTAATCGAGGACGCCTCGCAACGGCCCGCTGCGGCTGAGAAGGAACGAGCAGGCTTCTTGGCTTGAACAAATGACACGACTGGCTTCAAGAACGAGGTCCGAAGCTCAGCCGCGGAAAAACCAGCTGAAGCCTTGACAGCAGACGATGAGACTGAGACAGCAGCCATGGCTTTACAATGGAGGAAAAGTAGCTTAGAAACAAACTCGGAGCTAAGAGATTACTCCGAAGACAAAAGGAGATGGGATTACTTCAAAATAATGGCTGAAGAACAGGGAAGTCAAGAAATTTGTCACTGGCGAACCTTGGGATCATCGTCAGTAGATGGGAACACCAATGGGTTGCATCTGCGCTGACAAGCCAGTGGCGCAGTGAAGGATGCCCGAGTGTTTGCGCCTCTGGGCGGAACGGAGTGCGATGACAGCCTAAAACTGGGTGGGACTGGGTTGGGTTGGGTGGAGGGAAGGGAGGGGAGGAGAGCTTCGAGAACTTCACCCTGGTTGCGGTGCGCGGAAGCAACACATTCCCCCACTTTGCTTGACGATGAACGCTAGCGAGACCAGGCCTTTTGCGAGTAGGAGACACTGGACGCAATCACCAAAATATCGCTTCGCGAAGCTATTTCGCGAAACTGGGAGACGCTCCCAATTCGCTGGCAGGTCGCTCTGATCTGACAACCTGATCCCAGACGTGCCGTCTCCAATCATATCCAGCCGGCCATCTTTCTGACTAATGAAATTCAGGCACGTTTGCAGCATCAACACTAGAATCTTGGAAGGTACACGAACATCACCAATCGAACCACAGTGTTCTCACATCGAGATTCTATTTGTTCATGCATCGCACTTCCATCCATAGCCGAGTCATCGAAAAATATCTGTAGTAGGGGCAGTGAATTCTGGGCGAAATCGCCCGCGTCGGCGAAAATCGTGTTTGTCTCAATTGAGTCGACCTAAATTGCTCCCTGCTCGCCACGTGGGCGTTTTTCTAAATTGGATCGACCTCCCTTCCCCCCGCCCCCCCAGCCCCCTTTTCCCGCCCTTTCCCCACCGTCATTCGGGCAGCCGCATGCTCTCGCGTGAACTTCGGAATTGCCACAAGCAGTCACGAAAAGCAACCAACCAACCCCATGGCACGTGTAATTGAACGTGCAGGAAGCCACATCATTTGTGCCAGCAAAATTTCGGAATTTTCTGGGCCATGTATTATAACTCGAGAGGCTTATATACAGGTTGATTGTACTGTGTCCTTCGGGATCTGGCCATGTCATTTCTGGCCTTCACGGTTTCATGATCGAAGCATTCGTGATCCTCAACGGTTCATGAACCCTTCCGTTAGCATCATGTTCCTGTGAAGCTTAGGCGAGTCTCCCGTTTTACAATACCGGGTAGACACTCAACGCAGTCATTACTTTAGGCAACTCATATCCGGGCCCGCATTAGTACTCCACTCAATAGTCATAGCTTATCTCTGCCAAAACTGGTCACCATGTAGCGTCTATCGCGTGCGTATGGCCTCTAATCCCTTAGCGCAGGCCTTGCGACAGCTTAATGCGGCTCCCGAGTTCAACCCTAGGTACGACAGGCCTAATGATTACGCGCCATTGGAGCTGGGGGGCCTGTACTCTAGCCGTGATAAATGCAAGGAGGCCGTTTATGCGTACGCTCTAGAGCATCGGTTTGGTGTAAAAGTCCTTTTAGTGAAGCATAACTACGCAGTGGTTGGATGCAAGGCTTCATCGGACGGATGGTTACCCGCGTGCCTATGGAGCTGCACATATGGGCAAATCGGCCACGGTGGTTTATGGCGTATTACGCGACTCGTTTCTCCGGAGATGCATACGTGTCCGTTGCATTGGAGGCAGGGTTACGCCGAGGGGTTAGCCAACACTATTCCCATCCTCGCTCGGCGATACGGCAATTTGGTCCGTGCAAATCCTTTCATCTCACCCGTGGAGCTCAAAAGAATGCTCGAGGGTCACGGAAGGGTAGTGATCCACTACTGGCAGGCTTGGCGGCTTCGAGAGTACATCTTAAAGGAGCGATATGGAGATTGGAAGGAGTCCTTTCGCCAGGTTCCGTGGCTTCTCACTCGTTTCACAGTCATCGATCCGGAAGTTCAAGTGCGGTTGGACACATTAGATCGGTGTTTCCACCGATTCTACGTGCGTCCCTCTGCAGCACGGCACGCGTTAAATTATTGCCGCCCGGTTGTTGCGCTCGACGGTACACATCTCATTAGTGCGCAGAAGGCTGTGCTGCTCATCGCCGTCACCATTGACGGGAACCAGGAGATTTTGTTACTTGCATGGGCCTTGGTGGAGTCGGAGAACAAGGACGCGTGGACCTGGTTTCTGAAGCTGTTCCTTGAGGGGTTCCCGGAGTGGGCGCGTAGGGACGATGCCTCCATCATCAGCGATCGCGATAAGGGGTTGGTGCCGGCAGCAAGGGAGGTGATGCCAAGCCACATCCCCCATTATTTCTGTGCCTGGCATCTGGAGCAGAACCTTAAGCGGTTCGGCAAAGCGGCAACAGCGTTCTTCTGGCGGTTGGTGAAGTGTCGGTCTGAAACGAAATGGGTTGCGCTTGTCGGGGCCGTACGACGAGATTTTCCTGACATGGCCGCATATCTGTTCGGGCCTGTCCGGCAGCAGCCACAGCCACAACCCCAGCCGGCTCCTCAGGTCCCCCCTCCTGGAGCCCGGGCAACATTTGATGGGGCCAGGGATTTCGTGTTCGCGGATGCTCGCGAAGGGAGGAGGGCACAGCGAGGGCAGGAGCGTGGTGTCAACGCGGGAAATGGTGGCGTCGACACCGCGTCCCAACCCGAAGGGAGTGGGTTCCCGGAGGGCAACACGTCCGCGTACAACAGGCGTGGCGGCGGTCTGGCTGGCAGGGGGGGGATGAACGCACCTGGAAGACGGGCCAGAGCGCACGAGGGTATTGGAGTCCCTTCAGGGATACCAGACGAAGGGGATGGCGGAGCGGCTGCTTTTGGCATCGGCCGTGGAGGGCGAGGACGAGCTTCATCTGGACGTGGTCGCAGAGGGAGAGGCGGTGGCGTTGCAGGGGCGGGCCTTGGCAGGGGAGGTAGAGGAGTGCCCCCCGCGGCCGATTGCGGAGGGCAGGGGGGTGGCGGATCAGACTTCACGGGGGTTGGTGGTGGAGTACGGGAAGTGCCGCTCGGTGGGGCCGGCGGGAAGCAGGGGGATGCCGGCGCGGGATGGTCCGGCATTGCAGGTGGAGGGAGGGGAGTCCCGCTTGGTGGGGCTCCTGGAGGGCAGGGGGGTGCAGGAGCAGGATGGTCCGGCATTGGAGGTGGAGGGAGGGGAGTCCCGCTTGGTGGGACTCCTGGAGGGCAGGGGGGTGCAGGAGCAGGATGGTCCGGCATTGGAGGTGGAGGGAGGGGAGTCCCGCTTGGTGGGGCTCCTGGAGGGCAGGGGGGTGCCGGAGCAGGATGGTCCGGCATTGGAGGTGGAGGGAGGGGAGTCCCGCTTGGTGGGCCTCCTGGAGGGCAGGGGGGTGCCGGAGCAGGATGGTCCGGCATTGGAGGTGGAGGGAGGGGAGTCCCGCTTGGTGGGCCTCCTGGAGGGCAGATGGGGGCCAGAGCAGGATGGTCAGGCATTGGAGGTGTAGGGAGAGGAGTCCCGCTTGGTGATGCTTCTGGAGGGCGAGAACGCGCCGGAGCAAGATGGTCTGGCATCGGGAGTGCGGATGGGGGGGAGCCGTTGTTCGGCCCTGGAGCACGACATAGTGTATATGCTGCGAGCGGTGAATTGGTAGGGTCTTGGCCCAGTCCTCACACTGCAGGACCCAGGCGACACCAAAGCGGGCCACGCGGTGATGTTACGTTTGGGGTTGGCCTGGGCGCGAATTTCATGGGTGGGGTGGGGTCCGTTGGAAGGGGGGGCTCACCAGTGCCCTCTGGGGGCGACGTGCAGCGAGCTCCAGCATCTGTGCGTGATAATGGTTTGGCATCATGCTCCACGGGTGATGGGATAGGCGCTCTCACCACTGTGGGGAACCCGGGTGCACGAGCATTTGACGTCAACACGGTCCTGCGACGTGCCCGGGAGTGGTACCGGGCAGAGGACATTGACACGGGGAGGACCACGGGCACTCAGGGATCAGAGATGGGTGGGTTTACTGAGCACTTCCACCCAGCATCGGCTCTGGCTTTGCCATGGCCAGACTGCGGGCAGCGGGAGAACATTCCTGCGCAAGGGCCGGACGAGCCAGCAAGTGAGGATGATCCGGTGCCAGTGGATGCTAGGGAGGATGGGGATGAGGCGGCCGATGATGAGGGAGAACCCGGAATACATGTCCGAACCGGGTTCTATCGTAATAGGCGCGGATCATCTTATCGCATTGGGGGAATCATGCTGCTGCACTGGGCCCGTCTTTTTGCGGTGACACTGCGTTTTGGCATCTACACAAGCAACGCCGCCGAGTCCATCAACAGCGCTGTCCGCGGCATCCGAATGCTGCCACCAACATGGCTGCTGGCATCACTTTGGGATTGGTCTCGCGACAAGTGGTACGAGAGGAAGGAGAAGGCGCGCTGCAGGGATGAGTATCTCACGGCTGCCGCATCGAAACGACTGGACCAAAAGAAGCAGAGGTGCCAGGGGTATTGGTTCATCGGTGGGGACAACTCTGTTGGAACCATCCAGACCAGGGGGGGGGAAAACGAGTTCCAGTGGCGTAGCTTCAACGTGAACCTCGATGCCCGGACGTGCGAGTGCGGGAACTGGGAGGAGTACCAGTTCCCTTGTGCCCACGCCGTGGCAATGTGCATATTGAAGCAGCGGAGTGTGGAGATCCTTGTGTCTGAGTACTACACCACTCGCAATCTTCGCCAGACATACAACCGGGATGTGATGGGTACCTGTGTGGACCGGCTGATTATGGAGGCTCCACTGGCAGAAGTGGGCGAGTGCGATGCACCAGCGCTGATTGAGACGAGGGTTGGGAGGCCAGAGAATCACACCCGGTTCGAGGCACCGCCGCACGCTTATCGGTGTGGGCGATGCCGACAGTATGGGCACAACCGCAAAAGGTGCAAGTACAAGTACGGTGGGTACGGTCAGGCGCAGGCTGCGGTGGGGGAGGAGGTGGAGGAGGAGGAGGAGGAGGAGGAGGAGGAGGAGGGGGAGGATGGAACTGCTACAGGAGAGCATGGAGGGGGGGCACCAAGCTGCCCATGAATGAATGGCGAGTAAAACAGGCTTTCCCATGCGAGTATTGGGCCTTGTTTTGTGTCCTTGGATCCCTGCCGAATAAAACATTTCATTGACGATAGTACTTGAAAATTTAATATACGAAACATAATTGATTATTTGAGTAGTGCTGCTGTGCAAAACTTATTCAACAAGACCCACACAAATCAGGCCAAGAGTTGGGATATTCACGTGTGTAAAGTGTGCGCTTGATTCCCTCTGCTTTCTCCTTCAGCTGTGCATAGAGCGTCATGATCGACCGTTTTACATACATGATGCGAGGGCCTGGAAATCGCGGGGCGATGCCGCGCAGCTGTTCATGACGAATCATTAACTCTCCGTAGTGCATGAACGCAGCTCGACCTGTCATGATTCGAACAGCCTTCAAGCGCGGGTCCTGGAAGTCGCGCGTGAATGCCTACACTTTGAATCATGAACAAACTCGTGGTAGTGGCTCGGAAGTTGACTACCTGCACAGACGAACATGAACTCTCATGGACGTGATGCCTGCAACATGATTCGTCGACGGGGTTGACCCTAATTTGCGCGAAGGAACATGAACCGAGAATCGCCCCTTTATTGCGTGTCATTCGCTGTGCGTATTCGTTGTGACGGTGTTGTGGAAAATTATACACCCTCATCCTCTAATAAAATACGGGGTGCACAATGCCACCGGTAAAAATAAAACAGCAAACATTTACTACATGTTAAAACGCAACTGCGGCGCCCAGCAAAACAGCATAGCAACACACTGATCCCACAACAAGTGAAAAGATAGTGTTTTATGAAAAATCTGTTGTACCATGCTACTTGTTGGGCTGAGAAATAGCCCTTAGGATCTTTGCAGAGGAGAACTCTTGGGTAGAAACTTGTAATAGCGGAAGCGTTTAATGAGAGTGGTGAACCAACCTTGCACTGGTGTGTGAGAGCAAAGTAGATTAATTAAACAAGCAAATACAAAGGTTTATATAAAAGTACAAGGAATACGAATAGATAGATAGATAACTGTATTGCTGTTGCGGTTCGATATAGTGCGACTTGGGCAACTGCTCTGTAACGAGTCAGTTGTGTGTCCTTAACTGTCGCGCTGTAAATGTCGAGTCAAAGGTCGCTGACCTTTGACTTTCCCGTAACCTCCAGGCGGTTATCCTAACCTTCGAGGTTGACTCGATGCTTCGATTGGGACTGCTTCGCTTGGTGCCTTGGATTTTGACTCGACAGAAGCGTGTTAAGTCTAAGTACTATGCGGAAGCGATTAACTCAGAACCACAAACATAAACTAGGCAACACTTAACATCACTTGTGAACCAAGCGAGTAGTTATGCCACGCTTAGTTTGCAGAATGAGCGTTTTGTTAGAGCAGAGTTTCGGCAGGAGTTCATTGTATATCTACTCTCGTCAATACGTAGTAGTAGATTGTAAGCTTGAAAATCATGAAAGCATTGTTTTTGAAAGCAAATACAAGCACACATATAAGAGAGGTCCTAGGTGCACAAAGGAGAACACACAAAGCAGCGCGACTTTCTGGCGAATTTTCTTGCTTGCCTGGTCAGCGCGAAATCCCGTTAGTCAACCGTAAAATCTCGCGTGCCCCACGTGCCCCACGTGCCCCTCATCACGACCGAGATATTTCTCGGTCGTGCAGGACAAGACGATCGCTGACGCGATCGTGCGTTGTCCTGCGCGTGACGGAGCGATCATGTCGCTCCGTCCTGTATCGATCGTGCGCACTGTGCACGATCGAAACAGTGGCGACACACGCGTGGGCCCTGCACGACCACACGCGCGTGTCAGGACCCCACGCGCGGGTCCTGACTTCGCGCACTTTTTCATTGACCAGCGCGAAATGGTCAACGGGGCTGGTCAAACAATCGAGCCCCTAACTCAACACACTCGACACTCTCAACAGCACTCATGAAAAACCCTCGACATTCATGAGACACAGAGCATTCATGAAACACAGAAAATTCATGAAACACAGAAAATTCATGAACGCACATGTCCGTCGACGAAAAACAAACATGAGCGGACACGAGCCGACATGAACAAACATGAGCCGACATGAACGAACATGAGCCGAACATGATCCCACAGCAACAACACATGAAATGAAATGCGAAAACGAATGCACACAGAACAGACACAAAATGCATAACTTCACGCAGGCGGCTGGTTGCAGTGCAAAAAATAGTATTTTGCACCCAACAAAGCGTACTTAAGACGTATTGTTTCCAACACTACTCTCGTTTGGGTTTGTTGCCGCCAGGTTGGGGTCTTTAGTGAACTAAAAAACATGGCTCACAGCCAGCAGTTCAACATATTGGTAATGCTACAGTCCTACAAACCCCGCAAAGAGCAACAAAGGCAACAGTGCGAAAACCAGCATGGTGTTCATGAAAATCAGCTCCAAGTAAAAGAGATTACACGCCGATATGAGGCATTGGATCATCGTCACACTTTCGTCAGCTGTTGGGCTCTGACACACTGAAGACGAGAACAGCAGGTTAATGTCTAAACCCTGGCTAGTGCGTTGTCTAAACACCACGCTGCAAGTAATCAATACCTGTCGGGTGGGTTGTCGCGTTGTTGCCCACATCCCCCTCGTCGCTCTCTGGCAACGACAGCGAGGCAAACGCCACCACATCAGCCTGCACAGGGGGGTTGGTTAATGTGGCTTGCGTAGAATGGGCTGGTGGGGCGGGAGTAACCCCCGCAGGCACAGGAGTTGTTCCGACGTGCACAGCAGTAGCTCCACCGGGAGGGGTGGGCTGTGCAGGTGCAAGAGCCACGGCAGGAGGGGCGATGCCTGCATTCGCCGGGGCAAGTGTGGTTGGAGCAGCTGCGGGTGCGGTTGGCGCTGCTGCCACGACAGCGGGGGGTGCAGGGGCGGGTTTGGCACCACCGAGGGAAGCAATCTCGACGCGCCACCTTTCCCACCGCCCCCAGACGCGTGCGGCAGTGAGCTGCCGCACGATCTCGGCCGTGCAGCCATCCAGCAGGTCCATCTCCTCGCCGGTGAGCTGCCACACACGACCCCGGGGAGGCTTGCTCCGCCTGAGCACGGCTGCAGCTGCAGCGAACGCGCGGGCCGCTTGCTGCTGGTCTTGGAAGTGGCCAAGAATCAGCGTCCTTGATGACCCGGGCTCAGGGACAATCTTCGCTTGCCAAGTTCCGTCTGGGAGGAGCCTAACACCCGCGTACTCCCCCGATCCAACCACTCCCCCGACAGAGTGTGATGGCGGTGGCGGCGGGCCCATACACCCAGAGTGATCCTCCGAAGGGGCAGGCAGAGCTCCACCGCGCGCACCGCAACGATACGAGGTCAATGCATCGCCGGGCGAACCGGGCAGCAGCCCGTTGATAACGCCGAGGGCCGTTTGAATCTGATGAGAATCCCCTTGCTGCTCGAGTTGCGCAGTCGGCGCCAGAATTTGCTGGGTGGCAGGGTCGTCGGTTCTCGCGCTGGGTCCGCCCGCTCCTCCAATACGCCCCTGCTGCGGCGGTGCTGGTAAGGCTGCAACTTGCGCTGACAACGCGGTGAGCTCGTCGCGGGTGGTGGACAAGTCGTTGGTGAGACTCTCCACCAGGAGCTCGAGCTTGGTGATGTCTTTCTCACAGTACCCCACGCGGCAGGAGATGTTGTGGATGTCGCCGACAGCATCACGCAGCTTCGCGTCGATTTCGGCCAGCTCCGGAGACACTGGCTTGTTCACGCGCTTGCTGAGCGGATCTTGGTGGGGCACCATAACTCCGGACCTCTCCAGGGTTGGGATCAACCGCTTGAGTGCATGTTCGACTATGTCCGCACGCATCCTCCTCCGGAAAAGGCCACCACCATAGGGCAAGGCTGGCAGCCCATCGTCCAGATTAGCGAAGCCACGGGCAACAAGCTCAGATGCGTAGATGCAAACGTAGACACCACAGTCTACTTGGTTGGCCTGCATCGGGCACTGATAGTACTGCACACGCGAAATCAAACAAGGTGAGCAATATTGATGGACGTTCCACGGATGAGGTCTGTTAAAAAAAAACTGCGCGAAACATTTGAGTGCTTACCCCAAGCGGGACGCAAGGCATCGGATCAAGCCGCTGCTTGATTGCGGTGGCAGAGAGGCCGGGCTCCTCGGCTTGTAGCGCCAGACCGAGCAGCCTGGAAACAGCAACGATGCATGCATAAGTGCATTACAAGCGGCGAATCAACCGTGCGATCATAAGCACGACGAAAGTTAGGAGGCGATGCATGCCCGTGCAACTTACGTTTGGATCTCGGCGAACACCGACGGAGCCATGTTCCGATGATCACCAGTCGAGTCGAACAGGTAGGCCACCGGAAGCTCCGTGTTCCCCGATTTTATAGCAGTTGTTCTTGCCCTGCCAGGCTCCTTGACAACAACAAGGCTGAAATGCCTTGGCTCACTGCCACAATACCAACTTAAATGTAAGTACACAGCATGGCGATGCCGCGGTACGCGCGTACATCGAGATTGTGCATGCATGTCTTACAGTGTAGTTACAACTACAAGGACGTAGTTGTAGTCAAGGATGGTGCCGCCCTCGAATCCAGTGAAGAGAACCTGTTGATTCGCCGCCATCAAATACGCTCCAGTGTCAAGCGCAACCCATGTCTCCCCGCTTGGTGTTTTGGAATGCCTGATGCTCAGCAAACTGCGCGGGGTGAATACACAGACACGGAGAGCCGGTGTTAGGCGCCGGCACTATAGTGTGAGTCTGCTTACCCGCGGGAACAACGCACTCACATGTTGTGGAAGTCGATTAATGCCGTGCTGAGCTCGTATCCATCCTGAATGCGCATCGCGTCCATAGGGCTCACGAAGGCGTTTTGGCCGAGGGCGTTGTACAACGGCTTCGTTGGGAAGTGCTGACTCTTGATGGTAGGGCCGCGACAGCCTTTAGTTTGAGCCGGCGGCCCACGACCTTTGGTGAAGGCGGTGATGATGTCATCGACGGGCGGCAACACCTCCTTGTTC